CCCCGCCCAGCCTCCTTTTCGTGGTCCCATAAACGCGTCTCAAGGGTATATTTCAAATTGGTTACAGACAATTTGCTCAGGATTTTGTGATGAACACAGATGTCAGGAGCAGCTCGTCATCCAGTGCCATTGCAGACCTTCAGGAGGACGATGATGGCGTTTACTTCAGCTCCTATGGGCATTATGAGATACACGAAGAGATGCTAAAGGTTAGAAAGTTATCGCCACTGCATCTTAGTAGGACTAAAGAGGAGAGGTGAAATGAAGTGGGCTGTGTGCCCTTAAATATACTGCAGAGCAGCTGCATTTTTAACCCTTTCTGTCCAGGAGAGGTTTTTTGGTGGTAGTTGGGCCGAGAGATAATTTTTCACTTTTATTTCCTTTGTATACATTCTGTTTGCGGGAAGCATTACAAAATCATTTACAGTTATGCTTGATATATTACAATACCTGTACCACAGCCCTACCTTGCCAAAAGCAGCTTTTTCCTGCTTGTTTAAAACATGGAGGATAAATATAGTATAGGCAGTGAATATTTTTCTTTAGTTTTATATTTTCCTCATAATTGACATTTGTTAAGCAAGACTGTTTCTCAGATATTGTGGTTTTCTCTTGCACTGGGTAAACAGAAATTGTTACTTGTGCAGGGTTAAGTGTACTGATGACATGGAACAGCTGGAGTATGCTCCTTTCATATGCTAAAGATAAAAAAAAAATTGATGCTTAAAACTTCACAAAGGCAAACCTCTGTATGCCTTTAGACTTTAAAATAAGGAAAAACAAGCACAAAGCCCAACACCTTAAAATTAACTTGTAAATTAAAATGTCTTAATGCTTCCTTTCAGAAAAAATGTCATAGCTGTGAGAGTTACAAGCAGTTTTATCATTTTAAGGCATAAATAAATAAAAGTCCTGTCTAAAGTCAAGGCAGAATACAGAGCTGTGGGGTGACTTTGTGCCTGCAGCTGGCATATAAAGCTTTCAGCTTCATAAATCATTTAGTGGCCCCAATGCAGAAATACACATGAATCTGAGTTAAGAATAGTTCGACTGTGAGGTTATTTTTAAGGGGAGGAGATTTTACAGAAACACAGAGATGGCTGCAGAAGAAGAATGTTTTCTGAAATGTATGTTCTGTAGAAATATAGCTTAAGTATAACTTGAAAATAAATAAAAATGATAGTTTTTTGGTTTTGCAGCTGTATAAAGCTGTCATTTAAGACAATGTCGGCCATAGGATGAGGAATCCTTTCTGTTGGCTAATAAAGTTTACAGTAAATCTGCATCTCCACACAAGGAGATTGGTATAAAATTGTACTTTACAGATGGAAGGGTATGTTTGTTGGAATGCTTTTAAGAAGACTTTTGACATTCCAAAACATAGGAAAATGATCGTCCTTATTGTGTGCACATTGAAGTTTTTTCTTTATGCTAGGCATTCACTTCGATTTTTTTTCTTATGTTTACCATATTTACATAAATACAGTGGTTTACTACATGAACATTTTTAAGCAAGCAGTCTTTCTGTCTGAGTTGTAAGCCCATTTCGGAAACTGTTCAGTCTTGAAACCCTTTTTTCCATTATGTCTGATAGTGATATGTCTGACAAAATTTCAATTTGGGTTTTTTTTTCTACAGATACTTCAAAGGTTGAGCAAGAATATTGTTACTTCACAATTGCTAAATGACTGGTGTTTCCCTTGCATTTCCTTACATTTTTGCTTGATAAATTCTTGGTTGTCATCTTGGTAAATTTTTTTACCGTTTTACTTAAGCCAAGAAAACATTACATGGAAATGTCAAGTGGGAGAAAGGGATGGGTGAATACAGACCCAAAGTGCCTGGTTGTGGCTACAACTGCATTGAGTTGGGGCAGGGCTGAAGCAATGTGAGGGGCAGGATGCAAGGCTGAAAGCTTTCCAGCTGTCTGCTTTCTCAATTGATTATTTATTTTTAAACTTTTTTGGTCCTACCATCAAATCCTATTATATACTGCAGTAGAAGTGAAGTACTAAAAATTCAATTGCTCTGAATATAATATATATAATATATATATATAATATATATTATATATATTATATATATAATATATATAATCATAGCAAACCAATATGGTTTTAAAGGGTCATGATAGTACTTTTATACCTAAAGCTGGATTTTAGGATTTTCAAGGCTCAAAATAATTTTTTGTCTCCAAAATTTTTATTATCATAAAAATGTACTCAGTCACTGGTTTTGATCTTGTTCTTTTATTAAAATAGACTTTGATATTTTTCACTGTAGAAAATTTCTGTTTCTCTGTTGTTTCTAGAAATTCTTAACTTGCTGTAGTAGAAAAACTGCCTAGATTTAATAAAAGTACTAGGATTTTATACTTCAGCTTTATTTGCACTAGACAAAAAATTGCTGAGTTGTTTTTTTTTACTTGTCTGTAACACTTGAACTGCAACAGCAACTCTAAAACCTATACTTGTCTGTCAATTTGTGTACCTGCTGATGCATGTATGTTTTGTTCTAGGCTTGAAAATATTCCAGCTTCTCTGGCCATGTTGAATTTCAGTCAGACTTAGTTACTGTGTTGGACTTCCATCAAATGGGCAGTATAGCTTTGACTACTAGCTTGTCATCAGGATTGCAAATTTGCAGCTTGTTCAGAAATAAAACCAAGTTAATTTGATGCATAACTTTTTTTTTTTTTTTACAGAAATCTCCGTGTCACAGAGGTGTCAGAGAACAAAATGATATAAAACATTTTATGAGCTTGTGATTCAAATTTTCACCGTTGTATAGGAGCTTTCTATTTAAGTTGGTGTAATTTTATCACTCTATTGCTGCTGTTCCTGGTTAGTATTAAGTTAGTTAATTAGTATTATTATTAATACCTGGTTGGTATTAAGAACTTTGAAATATTCAAAAGAAAAGGCAGAATCAGGAAGCCATGAGACAGCTTCTTATCTTTCCTTCAGCTGAGGCAACTGGCTTCATTTACCACAGTAAATTCTGCAATATTATTATACAGAAGTGTTATGGTTGCAGGGCCCATGTAAATGCAGTATGTGCAAATCATCCTTAGGCCAAGTTGGAAAGCAAGTTGTTCAGCATTTTTGAATTTTATGCTGTGCCCAAGTAGAAAAAGTGAACCTGCTTTGTTCTTTAACTGATAGGATAAAGTCCGTACGGAGAGCTATCGTGACTTCATCTATCAAAACCCACATATCTTCAAGGACAAGGTAGGTAAAATCGCTCAGAAGGTACAGTAATTTCTACGGTTTATTTTGTCTCAAATGGCAGAAAACCTGCAGGATAGCTACTCTGTAGCTCTGGGAATGGAGAGTCACAGGATTTGATTTAATATGCTCTGGCTTTATTAGGTGGTAGAGAGCTGTTGAGCTGCTGGAGGGTGCAGCTTGCTGATAAGAGCAGTGGTGATCTCTATTGTCATTGTGCTGTGTGCCATGGCAGGGCGTTCATTAATTATCTTGGCAGGGTGAAGTTGAGCCTCTCTTGCTGAGGATATTAGGTGGAATCTCTCTGAGGGCTCTTTACCAGGATTAAGTATCAGGATTATGCCTGATACAGTAAAAATGTCCTGGAAGACCTGTGTAATTAGAGGTGGGAAAGAATTCATGTGGAACTGATTTTTTTGAATTAGTGCTGTTTTGTGTCTCCAGACTGGGTGGTTATTATTAAAGGGCTTGGAACTATGAGCTAGTACTTCATTTGCAGTGAGGGATTTCACTGATAGGATCTTACAGTGGTTATGGCCCCAGTATGGTAGTAATCCTCTTGTTGTCTTTTGTATTTCTGCTGGCTGTTTCTGATGACTTTGTTGTGTTTTGAGCTTATAGAATCATAGGATAATTTGGGTTGGAAGGGGCCTGCAGAATCATCCAGTTTGAACCCTTCTACTGTGGCCAGGGACAGCTTCCACTAGACCAGGTTACTCAGAGCCTCATCCAGCCTGGCCTTGAATGTTTTTTTTTTCAGGGATAAGGCATTCATGCCTTCTCTAGGCAACCTGTGCTGGAGCCTCACCACCCTCACAGGGTAGAATTTTTTCCTAGTATCCTATCAAAGCCTACTCTCATTCATTTAAATCCATTCCCCCTTCTTCTGTCACTCCAGGCCCTTGTAAAGAGTCTCTGTTTATCTTTTAGGCTCTTTTCAGGTACTGGAAGGCAACAATTAGGTCTTCCCAAAGCCTTCTCTTTTCCAGGCTGAACAATCTCAATCCTCTCTCAGCCTTTCTTTGTAGGAGAGGTGAGAGAGGTACAGTTCTGTCCTGGCAGAAAGTATTTCAGTGTTTGATAAGACCTATTCTTTGTATGTCTTACCTTAGTTTTCAATTTGCAACTACAGAAAAAATGAAAAAAAAAAAGAAATTGTTTTCTTCACTTTTTTACCTCAATTCATGTCACAAGCCTGTTTCTACTAAACATTTCTAAACTCTTTGATTATAGTGAGAGAACAAGCAAAAGTATAGAATTACGCTGCTAGCTACTTAAATGATGCAGGTGACTGCGTAGGTGGGCAGCTCATCTAACAGAGCAGAAGAATCAATAAAGGGAAGAAAAATTTCCTGAGAGAAATTTAGTTTCACAGATGCCCCTAAAATTAATAACTGCAGGTTTTCACAGAGTAAGACTGATCTGAAGTTACTCAAAATGCGAGGCCTTTTGGAGCAGTAACTTTTTATGATTGATAGTGCTTCTCCTATGCTGTATGGACACGCTGGGAACATTCAAAACAAAATATGGAGTAACTATTGCAGTCAATGTTGCTTCAGCCCCAGTAGATACATGTGCTCAGGAAACAGCTTTTGCAGTATGTGTGCTTACTCTGTTGTAAAAGCATTCAACTTCTCTGGAGAAAAACTCAGGTATCACAACATCTACAAACTGATTTCTGAACATGTTTTTTACAGCAGTTTTTGGTCATGGTTAACTCAAATTAATGGTGTATCTAAACCCATCATGGTATGTTGGGGTTGAACTCAAAGACAGACTCTTGATTGCTTTGAGTTCCCAATATCCTCCATCCATGTGACCAGTGCCCTGCTTAGCTTGTGTGCCTGGCCAAATGATGTAGCTTTCTTTTGGTACACTGTTATGGCGAGTAAATGGAGTTTTCTGCAGAAACCTGGCTTTGAAGTGACATGTGTTACAGACTTCTGCTGAAAGAGCTGTGTGGGATACTTTGCTTAACTTAATGTATTGTATAATGCTGTCAGAACCATACTAATGAGTGAAAATTCCAAAGGCTGTTTTCCCTTAAATTTTAATTACAATTAATAAAAAGTCTGATGCTGTATTTCCTAGAATTCCCATACGGTATTCCTCCCTGGAAAGTACATACTTATCCTTTTTGTTTTTTTCTGAAGGAACAATTGTGAGGTGTTTTGGAAGGAGCTTGTTCAAAGAGCTGAATTTTTATACTCCCTTTCGATGCAAGTCTGTATCCTAACCTTTAGGATAGTAAACAGGTGTGATTGCATGGTGATAGATGATAACAGAATATCTAGGTTTGTTTATTGTGCATATTATATTCAGATCCAGCCAATTTGTTTGTTCTGTGTCAGCTTTCAAAAGAAATTATTAAAACTTGAATGAATGCTGCTTGCTGCCTTTGTTTTCAAACTTGTCGAATGTATTTGAGATGAGAATGGGACAATTTAGATTACCTGGGAGGAGTAATGAAGGTGGGTGTACTCAGTAAAAGGAAGTGCGGTCCATTTTACAATAAGAGTATTTTTGGGTGGAAAAATAACTTAGTAAAGCACTGTTGCTATGCTTAGTTTTTGTTGTAAGGCTTAAGGCTGAGGCAAACATCAGTGCTAAATTCGGGGAATAAAAGCTTTTAAACCACTTCTACTAAGAGTTCATTGATTATATTAATTTAATTGGCCAAAGTCCCTGGCCTCCTGTTTTTCTGAGTTTAAAATAATTTCTTCTGACACTGAAAGTAGGATATTGGTTTTGCTTAGACTGCAGAGGATGTGAAGCTGCAGTCTGTTGTGGTCGCCAGTCCAGCTGCTTCAGGTCTTTGGTGAGAGGCCATATGTGATCGCTGCAAGAATGTGTGGGCTGTAGACCCTCATCCTTAGGCTAATTGCTGATCACTCTGTTTGTCTTTAAATTCCTGACATGTATTCCAGCTTGTATATTTTCTCTCCAGTGCCTCTTTTTCTATCCAATCCCCCTGCCTAAGGCTAGATGAGTTCCATCTGGGTTTTTAAGTGACCAGGGCAGCTGTCCAAAGTGGTGTCTGTTTTTATTTTTTTCCAATTTGTGGTGATTGCTCTCTTTCATGAAACTGTACATCAAGATGATTCTTTCAGAGTGGCTTATTTTTGTCTCTGATTTCCGAGTGGCATGGCTCAGTGATTTTGTTAACTACCATAGGTGAAGTGTTAGAATAGGTGATGTTAGAGGGTGTGAAAGTTCAGCAGCTGCAAGAATATTGACTTTTATTTTTTATTCCTGTCTCCGGTAGGTTCAGTTTAGGAATTTCCGTAGCCATAACATGATCTCACCTAACTTCTGAGTTGTAGAGTTGTCTCCTTTTGAAATAATAGCTGCAAAAGAGTTGTAGGTGGAACGAGTAACTCTATTCACAACTTCCCTTCCTTTTACAAAAGCAGCTGTTAAATGTCATCATACTGATGTTTTTTAGTCTGTTTCCAAGTTGTAACTGGCTCTACAGAGACAGGTGGCAGTCAATTCTTCAGTCACTGCTTCGCAGACCACCACAGCAGCATCTCCCTTACACCGTACTGCTAAGAATGAATAGCTGGTTTTATTCATGCTGGCTTCAGGATCATTGTTCTATATCCATCATCCGAATGTATAGAATTGTATACAAGTAAGGCAGGCAAACCTGAGTTATGGAGTATTCCAGTATTTGCTTTGCTGGTCTTTGTCAGGTGAAATGCAAGGTTTTGTTGTGCCAAAGCAAGAGTGATCAGTAGCTGATAAGCTGAAAAGTGTATCAGCAGCAGGGTGCATTATTGCCTTGAAATATTTCGTAAAATGGGGTTATAGTTCTCAAATATGGGATTGATTAGTGAGAGATTTAATGCCTTCTTTGGAAAAATGTTTAATATAATGAAAGCTGTGAAGGTACATTTTACAGCACTCTGTGCTGTGAGGAGAAAAGACAGTAAAATCTGTTTGCCTTTCTAATAAATTCTTGTTATGACTGGTAATTCTGACTCAGTGTTCTTGTTAACTTAAGTGCATTGTAAGTTGTACTTACTCTCATGTTTAGGTCTTATGTATGGGAAAGTAAGTTCTGTCTTTACAGTTCTGATTCTGTTCATGCTTAAATGGTGTACATGATATATATATATGAGTGGGTCTACATAGTATTTGATTTTTAGACTTCGGAACACTTTTGTGTTTAATGCTTAGAGTTTTTTAACACCATTAGTAAAGTTTAGCTATATTAGATATGATTCTTTACAGTAAGACCATTGATGATCTGGCCAATGCTCAGAATCTCCAGAGATGCCTTTCAGCCCCAGTAATTCTGTGAAAACATCAAGCCTGGAACTCAACTGAAAAATGTACTGTAACACATTCATTAGGTTTTTAGCTGTTGAGAAGTTTCCAGCAGTTAGAAGAAATACACTGTTATGATAGCAAGGCCTGAAAAAGGCTGTTTGATAAAATCTCTGTGAAGCTTAAAACTGCTGGCAGCTCAACTCTACTTAGCCATAAATTCAGTACTTTTTTCTTAGTTGCTTCACATTTTTTAACTTTTTGGTCTTCCTGTAGTAGCTGATATGTGATATACAAAAACCCAGACATTTTCATAGATCTTACTATGCTGAGAGTACTTTTTCCAGCTGTAGTGGTGAAATTTACTCTTTCATGAAAACTCTAGGGATTCCATCTTAAATGCTTTTTTTTCGCTCTATTTTGATTATAAATAGTGCCAGACAGAACCAGGCGTTAAAACTGTCAGTGACCATTTTAAAATTTAGTCATCTTGAGCCATAGCTGTTTTGAGGCACTTTGGCCATGTTTGGCAGAGGATGCCTGAATAAACTTTCTGAATAGACTTTTAATTAAACTAGAATATGTTTTCTCAGTGCCAGTGCTAAGTTCAGTTATTAGTGATTCAGTAATTAAAATTGCTCAGGCTGTAATTTCTTTGTTCTCTTCTTCATGTAACATTTTGGGTGTTTCCGAGGTAATTGCTTGCTAGTTTGTTTCCTATGTGACTGGGTTAATCTGCAGCTGGAGTTAGTGGGCTTCACAGTGTTCTTAGAAAAGATGGTAGAATGAGAAGTTAGAACTGCAGTTTGTCTTGGATATCTCTGCATGTAACATTAAGACTTCATGCCTTCTGTTGGAATATGGTATCTCACTGATGTCAAAAGAAATGTAGAAAAATCATAGCAAGGAAAATAAGATTGTTTTGCTTTCATTTATTCCTTTCAGGTGGTTTTGGATGTCGGCTGTGGAACTGGAATACTCTCCATGTTTGCTGCCAAAGCAGGTGCCAAGAAAGTGATTGGAGTTGACCAATCTGAAATCATCTATCAGGCCATGGACATCATTAGGTAGGAGAAGTGGTTGTTAGTTTTCTGTTTATTTATAGGAATTTTAAATAATTTCTATAATTTGTCTGTGTTATAGAAAATAAAAGCCCTGCACTGTCAACTGCTCTCCCCTAATTCAGCATTGCTGAGGGTGCATCCTGTCCAGTTGGGTTACTAAAGGCATTCATCAGTATCAGAAGTAGCACTGAACCCTGGCTACAGTTAGGATTTGTACTCGTCCTCTCAACTCTTGAACCTCATGGTCTAGACCCATCTCCTTGTCCATTTATCCGCTCCACATGTCACTAATTTGCCTATGGAGGATATTTAGGGAGGCTGAGCATAGTAAAAATCAAGCAGTAACATCTGAAGACTTACAAAGGATTTCCTAGGATGAGGTAAGAGGAGTGTAAGTGTTCATGGTCACTGTTAATAGCTGAAGCCTGTAGGTTTTTTCATTTAGGTTGATTTTACAACTTTGAAAATAAGATCTAGGTTGATTTTGGAAGTGACAAATTCTAGGAAGAATTTAGGAAAGACAATTTTTTTTGTGCAAGCTCAAGTGGCAGACTAGTAATGTTGACTGTACAGAATTTGTTAGGTAACATTCACACATTAGTGGTGCAGCACTGCACACTTGGATGCTGTAAAATTACTCAAATAAATATCTGCTTGGGAAAAGCACCATGCTAAACCTTAAGTGCATGTTTAACTAAAATGGTTTCCTAGCACAAGAACTCATTCCTTAATGAGAACTTTTCCCCTGAGTCCCTGACATCTTCAGAATGTTTGCAAATGTGAAATAGTGTTTTATGTCTCATGTTCTAGATTACAAATTTAGGGCTGTTACAACTTTCAACAGCCGCACAAAATCCTCTTGAGTGTTACTTATACTTAGGGGAGAGTAGAAGTAACAGTCAATATGTATTATCTTTGGAGAGGAGAAGGGCAGGCCTCTAAGAAAAACAGTGAATCAGAACTCTTAAACTCTTAAGATGATGCCACTTGAAGTATGCAGCAAGTCAACAGTAAGGCTGCATATTTATAGGTATTTTCTGCTAGAAAAGGTTCAACTCACATTAAAGTCTCCAGTTCACATCAAAACAATTTATATTTGTCTGGTTAAAGCTACTTTTCCTAAAGGAATAAAGCTGACAAAGTTGCAGTGGTGTAACAATTATTTATTGGTACACTGAAAAACTCTAGCTTGAAGAATGACTGTTGGAGCGTGCTTCCACCTGTGACTAAAGTGTGTTCTCAAAGCATTTGTCCTTCCCAGAATTCATGTTAATTCTAGCATGCAAATTACTGGAAACAGTGTAACCCATGTTGCATGTATAAGTGAACCAGATTACAGAGTATGAGTAGCCTTAAAAATAAACTTACTTTAAACTAAATGATTGCCTTTTCTTTTTCTTGCTGTGAATAGTCCCTGTAAAATTTCTAGCACAGTGAATGATTTGATTTTTGTCATTTGTCACTGTTAAGCTAGAATAGAAAGTTGAAGTAGACTTCCTAAATAACATCTCAGTTTTTCCTACAATGTGTAAACTACATTGGTTGGTTTGGGTTTTTTTAAACATTATAAATGAAAACACATATGTAGTAAATTAGTCCTGTTCCTCTCTGTTGTTTTAAATCATGTCCCTGGATGTGGTCATTTAGAAATTTATCTTTAGATCTCTTTTAATCCTTCTTAAATTGTTGTTGTGGGTGATAGCTCTTTAACATTCCTCACTTTGAACTTCTGGTTTTACTTCTGTTTAGAGCATTAAATATGATATTGGACATGAACTGCTATATTCTAACAGAAGATTGTCTTGTGTAGAGGATTTAATTGATCTTTGCAACAGCCCGTGTGTTCAAGGAGCCCTCTGACCCATTCCTTTCCCTCCCTTCATACTGACCGTTCTTCCATTGTCTTTTAGATTGGATTTTTAATGTCATTACTGGTCTGCATTGAAAGCCAGACAGAATGTAAGAGTAAGATATTAGGAGAGGGAGGGAAGGGGCAGAGATAAGAACTGCAGTGGGAAGATAAATTTCTGTGGTGGGAATATTTTTCTGCCCTCTGTAAGAATAGCCATGGTAATAAAGATAAGTGCAAGAAAGACTAATATGGTTTGCCAAGAAAAAAAACAGTACATTTCAAGCATGTACACACTGATTTTATTATCTTGCAGTTCTTGTCTCAAAACCTCTAGTACTATCCCCGTCCCTCCCTTCTTATGCAGGATGGTTGTACCATGACATGCATGTGAGGTAATCCCTGATCAGTGCAGGTACTGAATATTGCAGATGCTTTTGCCCAAATCACAGTGGGGAGGGTGTCTTTACTGTTGAATAACTGTAGTACTGATTTAGAGGGAAGCTTTGTTCTCAGTGACTTTGCAGCTGGTTTGGTTAAATAAAAAAGCGAGTCATACAAACAGCCTTGTAAGGCAGTTAATTTCTGTTGCTGTCCTGGTGTGGTGAGTAGGCTCTGATTGCTGTGGAGGTCAGAGGAGGAGAAATGGAAACAAGCAATTTTTAAATAAAAAGGACCAGCAGTTTTAAATTGTCTTCTCTGTTTTCCTGGTTTCTGAAGCTTGCACATTTGTATGCATGGCACGTTGGACGTATACAGATCTACCCCCTGCCATCTTCTGGCACTAAATCTGCTGTGATTTTTAGCTACTTGGAAATGTTCCCTGTGAAATATAACTGAGGAATAGTACATTCTAGTGCTTCTTGATTAGTTAAAAAGTTTGTGAGGGGAGAAATGTGAAATACAGATGTCAGTATATTTCTCTTGATGGCATAAATTAGAAATAGAAACTTTATTCATTTATGTTTTCACTTGCAGATTAAATAAACTTGAAAAGATTATTACATTAGTCAAAGGAAGAATTGAGGAAGTTGATCTGCCTTTGGAAAAAGTGGACATAATTATATCTGAGTGGATGGTAAGGTGCATGGCTATTAATTTCAAGTCGTGTTCAGGAAAAAGACGGGTTTTATTTCGTCTGAAAAGTTATTCCATAAGTGATACTACTTTTATTTTAACCCAAGCATCTATCATGGTTCCAACAGTATCTTTGATAATGTCAGAGATGTGATGGCAGCCCTGATTGTGTGGTACTTGGACACAATTCATGGTCCCTCTTGTTCAAGCTCTTTCAAGTCAAGCCTATCGAAGTACAGTTGAGCTGCTTTGGGTGCAGGAAGTTTCTGTTACGTAGTTAGTTTGGAAATCTATAAAGCATTCAGTCATACTATTGTGGCTGCTCAGGTGAAAATAATGGAGGAATATTGTATTAGTCATCTAGCCAGCTCATTCTGATGGGTAAAATAACTTCAGTCTGCAAATTCAGCTAAGGACTCTCTGGACTATGCAGGAAAGGTGATAAGGAGGGGAGGTGCTGCCTCTGGAAATCTGCAAATACTGAGAGAGCTTGAAAACAAGGTTGCTTTTCATTGCTGGGTTTTAGCATTACAGTAAAAACACTGATTTTAAAAGTACAAAATAAGTGTGACTGACAGCAGTGTCTAAATGAGCCATCTCTTGGAATCCATTTGATTTCAGCTGTTGGCCTGTTAACTTTTTCGTGTAGTTGCTGATAACTGTTACACACTTGTCCTTTCTACCTGCTGTTAATCCTAATAAAGAAATCTGTGTTACAAAACCTAGTGCCAGCCTGAGTTTCGTAGTGACATAGGAATGCCTGTTCCCTATCAAAAATGTGATAGAAAACATCTCTTTGAACTGTTTTTTGTGAACTTCTGCTATTCAGTATCCTAATATCACAAGCCTTCAAAAAGCACTTCAAAACACAGGTTTTCTTCAAGCGGTTGTGACTTAAAAATTCCTTTCTACCTGAAATTTAAGATCAGTAATGACAACTTATGTTCAGTGATCCTTGTTTCTTTGTGGGGTTTTGTTTTTTAGCAAACGGTGGCTGTTCTGCTATATACAATGGCCTTTGAGGGGGAAGTCACACACTCGGTGTGGATCCATATGTATCTACCTCTTTTTCCATAGGGAAAGATGAAAACAAAATTGGTTTGCCTTTTTTTGGTTTTTTTAATATTTGTTTATTACATTTGTCAGTGAACTAGAAATCTACAGGTTTTCCTCCCCTGCTATAATGTACGTTATTTGAAGCATGAGCTTAATTTAGTGTTGAGGTCACTAGTTTCAATGATAGTTTAAGCCATTGGTTTAAAACAGTGATTTAAAAATAGCACATTATGGTTGGTGATTTCTGACAGTATAGTGGCTTCACTAGAAATGTAATTATAGTTTTTCAGGGAAGCTTCTATCCACTGCCTAATATGTGCACCAATATTAATATTCCCGAAACACGTTTCTCCTTCTGGAGCCCAAGATTTGGTTTTAAAGGGAACATGGGTAGGTGAGCTGAAGTCCTGTTGTAAATCAGTGCCTCTAAGATAAACTAAAGAATTTCAAAACTCAGCTTTTGTAAGAAATGTCATATTAAATGCTGGATATTTTTCTTTTGTGTGCTAATTTACCTTTTTTTTATGTTGTAATTACATAGCCATGTAATGTATGTACTGCATATATACAGTATGTACAACAGTATGCACTTAATCTGATGAGGTATTCTAAATATTTAGGTATGTTGGGATTTTTATAGGTTGCTGCTTGTCAGAGATAAAGAGGGCAATGCTGCAGAAGTAAGATTGATAGCTGGACACTGTTCGAACACTGTCCAGAAAGGAGCATTACGTTGCCTAATGCAGATGAAGATTTCTCTTTGTCTAGCTTTCTTGTGTGAATTTACTTTTTCCTTCATTTCCTTCCCTACATGATACAGTGCGAAATCTGTTCTTAATATGTAAATGTAAGTGCTTGAAAATGTTGGAAATGTTGAAGCATGAGAGGAAAAAAAGAATTCAATATATATCAGATTTTGCCTCTTTATGCAGAGAATCTGTATGGACTGGCAGGAAAATTCTCTTGTTTTTCTTTGTAACAAAAATATGAAAAGTTGCAGTTCTGTTTAGAAAACAAACTGCTTTTAGATTAGTAAATGTCAAACCCTTTTGTGGAGCCATAGCTTTGTTTTGCTTTGTACAGATCACTGCTTAAGACCAGTACACAATAAGCTTTTTTTTTCCCTTTTAGAGCTTTGTCTGGAACATCAGAAAATTAAAAACAAGTATGAGGCAAGAGAGAGGAAAAATACTGCATTCTCCCGGGATTGTTTCTAGATTAGGCTTTCTGAAAAAGCTTCATGTAGAGCAGTTTCTTATAAAAGGTACAGCATTGCATTATGAGCATCTCAGTATGATGGTTTCTGATGATCATTTACTTAATTGCAGAAGTGACCTATGACTGCCACAAACTGCTTGCTCTTCTTCCCTTTCTTTCATTTGTAAATTTGTTCCCTTAAATAATGGAAAAATGGGAAAAACATTTCAAATTACACAGTGGGTAGGTATGTATAACTGCATGTGTGTCTATGTAGAAATTTGTATTTCAAGTGCATACTTGCCATCTTCCATATTAATACTTTCCAAATTTAAATTCCTCTGGATATGTTTTTTTCATGTTCCAGGGTTAGAGGCTGAATGAAGAGCAGCTCTATCTTCAGTAGTTTAATTTGAGCCTGTGAAAGAAACTAGCAGTGAACTTGTTTGTAATGTGCTAAATTTAGTATGTGACATCTGAAGTTTTTGTGTTTGACAATGTCAGCATCAGACCAGGACACTTCTGTGATTGTGTTCAATTCAACCCAATGTGTAAAACACAGAGGAAGGCAGTGGGAGGTGTGAAGAGCTGTGAGCTGTTCTCTTGTTGTTGAAAAGGCAGGTTGCTGAACATTGTACACTACAATGTTAGTGTACAACATGTATTCATAAATTTGGCTTTTTATGCAGTGCTTTATGATACTGAATATGCAGTAGAGTTCTACAGGATAAAAGTGGGGAAGAGATGAACTGTCAGATTAAAATACACTGAGGATACAACCCAGTGCTTGTATTTTAATAATGTCTTTGGTCAGATAGCTAATATTTTCTTTTCTCCTTTTTCTTTTCTTACTTTTATATTTCTTTCTCCTTTTTTAAAAATAATTTTGAAATTGCATGAGGATGGGCTGTGAACAGAGGCATTGAGGATCTAGGGAAAAGAAAAGGAAATGAGCATGTCTGAAACACTGAAACCATCTTCTCTGTCCTTCCTTCTTTCCCCTGTTTCTGTGAGGGATACACAGTTATTTCCTTGCATGATATTTTTTATTTTTTTCTTGTCAACACCAGTAATGGGGATCACCTTTCTGCTCTTCACATCTTCCTGTTCGGTGTTCTCACTTTTATTTATTTATTTATAAGAAAACAACAGAGTGTGCATAATGACAAAGTCCAGTTGTCATTCTGAGATTTGTGAGCTTGTTCTGTCAGTAATGAATTACTTCCTCTTTTTTTTCTCTTTTTTTTTTTTTTTTTAATTAAATCGTACATGAGAGACCATCATGAAGGCAAACTTAGCATGTGAGAGATGGAGCTGCAACAGGGCATGCTGAAGTGTTTATGTGTAGCTGCTGCTTGTCATTTAAGTGTGCTGCAGCTTTGGAGGGAATTTTGTCAAATAAAATGTAAATTTTCATGACATAGAGTAGGCCACATCAGTTTTGTGCATTTGTTAATGCCAGATTAAATTTTGTATTAGAGATCAGAATCTGTTATCCGATTGTGTTGCATACCTTCTGTGACTTGCTTTACTGTGTAGGCCAATGGAAATCTTGTAGTTAGAAGCTTCAGTTTAAGAAAATAATGCACTTTTTTATACCACTGTGGATTAAAAAAAGATAAAGTCGACTCTCTGGGCCAGTGATAGTTTTTTGTCTCATAAATATTCAGTATTGTGCCTTACTGAATCTGGAGAACTAGACCAGGTTCAGTAATGTTATAGAAAATAATAAAATGCATCTTTGATAGCAAGTGGAGGGGAAACACAATGCTTATTCAAGTAGTTGAACAATTCCTCCAAATTCTATCTTTACACTTTTTTTTTTCTTGCTGTACCAAAAATTCTGCTAATTCTTGCTGTTCCCGATCCACTTTTTGATGCTTTTAAAGAGCTTAAGCTCTTTTTCTCCACTAAGATTATCATGTAAATACTGAAACACTTAAACTAAAAGAACTTGAATACTTATATTTTGATCAGTTGTAAAATATTTTTATGTAGCTTTGAATTAAAATGAAAATAAATACAAGAATGCTGTAGGATATTTGAATAACATGAAAAAAAATTATCAATGCAGGATATTAAGGCATTAATTTATGAGCCTTTTATAATTCTGTTAGGAACGGAGAATACAGATATAAAGGATATATATATAAGAAATGTAGAAAAATTCACATTGCTGTGGATTCAAGGGGCTCAGTGGATGTCTCCTTGGGGCAGACATGAGGCAGGGCAGGCGTGTGCTTGAACAGAGTTATTCACAGTGCTGTGCATTTCTGTTCCTGTCATTTGTTTACTGGCTTTATTGTTAGCTGGGGAATATTTTGTTTCATCTTTGCAAATATAAAAAATACAGAACTTCATGTTCCTTCTGAGAAGGAAATGGCCAGCTTTTTAGTAGAAAATATGTAATGGGACAGTATAAAATTTAGTTTTCTGCACATTTGAGTTGTCTTTAACAGAGAATGACACCTTTTATATGTCTTTGTTTAGCAACTATCAAGGTTGTACTAATAATATGGAGCTCATGGGTTTGTATCATAGACATCTCTTTGCACTGATTGATTTTGAGGATGTCACAGCATGCTTAAGAAAAAGTAAACCCTTGACCATTTTTTGGGTTGAAGCAAGAGTTCCCCACAGCATCATGGGGAAAAATGTCAGGTATAATTCTGTTTCCAGAAGGCTTCCCTTCAGGTGGGGCAGGAGGCTGTAAAATTACATTCTAACTTACAGATGAGCACAGCACACTGAGCAGAGTGTTTTGGTGTAAGTAGTAAATTACTTGATTCAGTACCATTGATGGTTTACGCAACTTACAGGAATGCTGTAATGAATTGGGATGGAGAAAGAACTGAGTGGGAGTGGGAGGAGAACCAGCAGTGCCAGAGAGGAAAGGGAAAGGATGGTGAGAATTTTTCTGTATTTCTCCTGAGAGAGTGTCTTCCAGCTGTACTTCTTGAACAGGTTGGCAGGTATAGTTAGTGGGCAGAAAGAAGGAAGCAAGAACTGATCCATAAAGATGTCACTTTGTGAATTACTGGCTCTTGCTAGTGATTAGTCTTCAAAGTGTCCTAGAGGTTATCTTTAAAATACTGTGAAAACAACTCATTTTCAGTTAAAGGCATCTAAAAATACTTTTCGTGAGGTAAACATATTCTGTTATTAAGCCATAACAGTATAAAAAAGAAAGCTGTGGTTCCATGCTGTTCTTCTGGCTTGCCATGGGCATCAAATTATCCCTGCCTGACGCAGCTGGAGCTTCAGGCCTTTTCAGCTGTTCAGCAAAGCTTAATAACAGCCCTATTGCTCACAAAGCAGTAGTCATCCTTCTGGGACTTATTCTAAGAATGTACAGAAATTGGGCAGTAAAGTAGAAGAACAGGCAGGATTGGAAAGAAAAGTTTTCAGTGGAGCACTATTACCAGAAGAAACAGATTAAGAAAAGGACATGGCCATTATTTTTACACTGTGTCCTCTTTGAATACAAATATTTCATGCTTCAGGTTCCTGGGGTTTTCAGTTTTGTTTTTTGTTCTGAAGGCTGTGGAAAATGGCATTTATAAGCAAATCTGAACTTTAAGCATTTTTTTTAAGATCATTGAGTCTAACCCAGCACTTCAAAGTCCAGCACTAAGCCATGTCCCAAGGTGTCACATTCACATGACTTAAATCCCTCCAGCGCTGTTCTGGGCAAGCCTGTTCCAGTGCTTGATAACCATTTCAGTGAAGAAATTTTTCCTAACATCGAATCTGGTGCAGCTTCCTAGCTTTCCGTTGGTAAATTACTGCTGACTGGGCTTGTAGGACTTCATGTCCAAAGCGTGGGCTTCAGCTGTCCATTTTGTTCTTGCCAAGTAAATCAAGCCACATGTCTAAGCTGTGTTTTAAGCAAAACGAAAATAAGGTTGTTAAATGAAAATTCAAAATCTTCCTTGGTGTTTGTCTTAATACATTTGGTGTTATGAGAATGTAGATGAAATATGTTACAGTATTGAGTAACAATGCTCAAACTTGGAGGACAGGAAAGGTATAAATTCAATATATCAATTGGAAAACAAAGGGCTGTATATCTCATAAGTATGCAGTTTGTTTAGAAGTAGTTGAGAAAGTGGATGTTCTCTGTAAAATGTTAATTTCATTTAATATTGTTTTTGAGTTTTTTAATATCTTAAATATTCAAATAAAGAATGTTTCCTTGTTTCAGCAAATGACTCATTGAAGTTTACAGTAAGTTATTCTAAACACCAATAGCAGTAAGGTTAACTTGCCATAAAATTAATTCCAACCCAAAAAAGCCCTATGCAAATCTAGTTGTAACCATTTTTATCCTGGAAATTTTGCAAGTCCAAGTGCTGCTAAATGATGTAGAACACCCAGAGAACCTGTGTTTGGTACACAATTTATTTCCACCTCTCTTAATGAGCACTGACTAGAATGATACAGGGCACCACAAGGTTGTAAATATGAAGAAGCAAAGATGCATTCCATTTGGCCTTTCTCTGACAAGTTTCAGTGTAACTTGCAGATCTGAACGGGAAGGGATTTTTTATTGTTTATTATTATTTTTCTTGGAACCTCACAGTTATTACTAAAAAATCAATACACACAGCTTTTCACTTGCTTTGAGTTGAATTCAATGTCTTTTAATGTTGTAGGTCTCTTGTTGGGTAATTATTGGTGTAGATGGCATGCTTATTTTCTCTGGGTGCTGCATACTTGCAGTTTGGGAAATGGAAGATGATACTTCATATAATAAGTTTTGAAGTGACAGTGCTTTGTTGAGAAACTTTGGGTGTATGGGCTGATAATGTTCTTAAACTGTGTTGATAAAGCCTATCTGTTGAATGTCTAAATAGAAGAAACACAATGATTTCTAAATTCTTTCCCTTTTCTATAAACAGGGTTATTTCCTTCTCTTTGAGTCAATGCTGGATTCTGTCATCTATGCAAAGGACAAGTACCTGGCAGAGGGAGGCTCAGGTTGGTGTTCAATTCTTTTAATAAATTTAGCTCTGGGGGGAAGCTAAATTAACTCAGAGACTTAGAATAAGCTATGCATGGATGAGAAAGTTGCCATTCTCAGTGAAAAATGTTTCCATTAGTAGGAGATTCAAGGCATTAATTTACTGTATGGGCAATAGAAGAACATTAGATGGATTACCAAGGTCTCAAGTTAATGGTGTTTTTAAGAATAGAGGGGGCTATTTATGCTTAAGTACAGACTAAATTTTTCCTCCCTAATTCTTCCCACACATTTGGGTTTTTGTTTTCCCCTCCTGAAATCCAAGTTTCTGCATAACTCTGAACAAATTCTGTAATGTGTGATACTATTTGAGTAAGCTACTGTGGATTAGAGGAATAGTGGATAGGGTGTTTTCCTGAAGGAGGGAAGTTGTGTGGGGTGGACACAGTTTCAAACATATGAAATAACTAATGGAATTAACACTGTTTCAGTTCAGCATATTTATCCTGGTGGTAATATGCTCTTTATTTTTATGGCTTGAGGGTAGGGTTGTGACAAAAGGGTTTGCTTTGAAGTAGAGTTCTTTTACCCAGTTAAGTAGCTTAGGTAGTGTCATTTTAAGCAGTGTTTAAATGCCTGTAAATATTTATTCCCTATGTAATGAGTTCTTTGCACAAGTTCTGCATGTGCTTAATTCCTTTGTCAGTATTGTATTTCATACTGACCTTTTCAATCGTAGTCATCAGTCTGGGTTTTTTTTTGCCCTTTTGTGCTAACCATGCACACAGTTTCACTACACTGACCTAATGATTGGATTAATGACGGTGTCACAGTGCTTGCTGCAGTGCTTCCCTATGGTTGCCATGAGCTTTTGTACACTACAGAGTGCAGCAGGAAAATGGGGTTTCTGCTGTTGTTCACAAAGCTGAATATACAAGCAAGAGATGTCTTAGAATAGTTAGTAACCACTTGAGCAATGTGACAGAATAAGAGCTTTTTTGTTTTCAGTCATGCACAATAGTCCAGCCACATCAAGAACACAGGTGTGTGCGCTCTGTGTAGATATGTGCTAATTTTACACTGCAATACAATTAAATGCAGTGACATTCCCTAAAATAATAAGGAATCATTTTATGTTTAGCTACTACTTCCAAAGCCGCCTGAAAGGGACAGAAATTTCTGACCTCTGTTTAAACTGTATTGTTGGTAGGTTTGCTCTTGGTTTTTAAGTCACAGAGATTCTTTTGGGAGATGGGGTATCCTGGTTCTGTGGTATTCTCATCCTTTGGCGTCTAATAATAGTCTTGGGTCCTTCTTTGATTCTTGACAAAGCAAACAGTGTTGTTCAGGCACTGATGGGATTTTCAGTTCTGTCAACAATTTCATTAAGGTGCTTGCAGTTACTGCTCCTCTGCTGGCTTGTCCAGCAGGTGAATGGCTGTGCCCTGGGTCTGTGAGAAGGATGCTCAGCAGCACAGACTCTTCTGCAGTGCAGCTGAATTGCACATCCAAATCCAGATGAGCCAGACGTAAGAGTTTACTCTGAGGTGAAGCCTTACCAGAGGAACGTATGAATCTGCTTAATTTTGTCTAAAGCCACTATGTACTATTGAGCCCAAGATCATTATTACAGAGAATGTTTGAAACCTGAAAAAAGCAATAGCAGCAGCTGCAATTTGACCAGATCCTTCAGTGATTGAGCTGGGCATAGAACCCAAATTTCCAGATTTGTGTTCAGTCAGTCATATTGTCATTGCTTCACTTCAGCCTATTGGCATGCTGGAGTGGCTGGTGCCAAAGCATAGAATAGCTTTATTTGGGATAATTTTTGCTGCCCAGGGCACATCTGTTTGTTCTTTGGAGCTGTTGCTGAAGTTTAGATTTTTGCACACACTCAAGTCCAGTTCACGTTGTCAAGGGATGACAAAGGTAAGGAAGGTGTCATTCAAAACATAATACATTGAAAACATAATGCTCCTTCACATCAGAACAGTGATGGTATTCACGTGGAGTTACTTCTGCACATTTGGAAGATTGCTGTCTTCGCCTTCAGTGTCCTGAAGTTTGTGAGGCATTGCTGAAGGCTGAAGGATTTCCCATCATACTCTCCCTGCCACGTGAGCTGTTCTGGTGACGGATGGCTCATGGGCACCGAGTCGAGAAGGACACAGATGGTCAAAGCAATGAATCTGGGAGAGCTCTGAGGAGTGTGTGCTTTTGTCCAATCAGCATTTTGCTCATTTCACCTGTGAGAAGGAATAATTACTGAATTATAGGCTTAATGGGGAAAAAAATGACAAGTCTGTCAGGGTTGCACAGGAAAGTATTACAGAAAGAACACAGGATTTCCAGGGAAATCAAGGGTAATGGGGAAATGGCAAATTTTATGCAGGTGCTTTTAAATATGTACAAAACTCCACAGTGTTCAGTTGATTTAGGCTGATACTCAGGTAGCACTGCTTACATTTTCAGTCAAACCTCAGCATAGTGTATAAGACATGGGTGGGTCTGTAAATTAATGAATCGCTGTAGTCTTCTCCCTGAGCCCTGTTGGTGGAACACAAATTTCTTTTGGTGAAGTCTGAATACATTGTCTACTTTTGCTGCTATTAATAGTAAAAATGCAGATTAAATTGGACCCTTTTGTGTTTACATTTTCCCTTGTTCTTAAGCACATTGTATAATCAATTATGAGTTCCACTGCTGATTTAAGGATTTGCTGTGAGAGCAAAGACTTTATAAAACCCGATTATGATCCAGTTCAAATATTTTATGATTGATAGAGGGGATTAAATTTCTCTCTGATTTACAGAATGTCCCAGAAATTTGGGCTAGTCAGAGGAAGTAAGTTTACAAAGTAATTGATCACATTTTGTTGTGGGTTTAAATTTCACTTCCACTGGCACTACAATGCTCCTTTGTGTTCTGTAACCAGGGACTGCAAGTCTTTTCATCTCTTTTCTCACCATACCATTGCATTCTATGAGACCCATTTCCCTAAAAAAATAATCCCTCTAAGGCTCTTGTCCCTCGCTTTTGTTGCCTGTATCACACTGTTTTTTAATTTTTGGAGCATCAGTGGTTGCTGTTGAAGGTGTGAATGCTGTGAGGTAAAGCCAAGTGTTATACATACACACAAACAGCAGTGGGAAAGCTTGGAGAAACAGACTTCACTTGGTGTTGATTCCAGAAACTACCTGCAGATACTCCCACCATCAATGGTGATGTTTTGTGCTTGTGTGACAGCTGTCAGGTGTACTGGAACCAAGTGATTTGTTTCAGACAGGACACTTCACTGTCTTCCTGTTTGGATTCTCATCAAACTGTCTTTTTACTGCTGAGTTAATTATAAGCTGTTCATGGAGACACCTTCTGCCCCGATTTTCTCAGCTGCAAAGTAGAGATGATGATAGTTTACCAGTGGGATTCCAGTTTAAGCCTGCTAATATTTATTTATTCTGGTGTAAACAATCAGAAAATGAGAAAAATGTCAGTGTGCTTACTTTTACATTTTATTCTTTATAGAACAAAAAAAAACTTAAGGGAAGGTTATTCTTTACAATCACTATTTGTAAGAATATTTCCTTTGGCCTAAAACTGTTCTCACTATATGAAGGGTCTAATTTCAATTTTCATTATTTTGCAAGGTAGAAAATACTGCTTTTCTGACCTATCCTGCTGTACCAGTGAGCTATTCATTTTGATAAACTAAAATTTCAAGCAGAACTGAAGACAAAATTAATTTTACAGTTCACCAGATTTTGGGGAGGAAGAGAGAAACGTGGCTTCAGTTGTATTATCACTGGCCCTTTCATGTATTAATATAAAATAAAATTAAATAGGGTGTTTTAGTTGACATTTTGCTCTGAAATCAGGTCAAGAATTCAGTGTATGTGGCTTTAGAGGCTTTAAAACTCTGAAGAACAAAACACGAGAATTTTTGTGAAAAGAAACCTAGCTAAATATAAATTGAACTTCTTTTACTATTTGTTAGGGCTATAAACAACTATGTACATAGCAGCTTTTCTTTGTGGGTTTTCCAGTCAGTTGAGATTGCCAAGAGATTGAGTGACTTCGTTGGCAGCTGTTAAAAAGGCAAATTCCACTACTATTTGTAAAAGCTGCAGTTACTTGTTCTGAAGATATTCTTGGGAGAAGGAAAAGCATGAATGAGAAAATAGTGTAAAATTATACCTTTATTCTGAAAGTGAGAGGGAGGGAATCCATGAAGTTGTCTTCTGTCTGTTGGGCCACTTCCTACTCTTCAGATGCAGACAGAAAAGTGGTTATTTCTAGTACCCAGAAATAATTTTTTAGGTTTTAAGGTAAGAATCAGCCAGACCTGATAGCAAACAGGAATAAAACTTCTGAGTAAGAATATATGGTCTTTTCTGAAAATAAGGTATTTTCACAGAGGTTTCTTATTATTGCAAAGCCCTCACCTGAATTTCTGTTTGGGTATCTGTCTACAGTTATGAAATTTATTTTATGTTAGTCTCTGTATAGAAGCCAGAATAGGCTGTTCCAAATTATTTTCTTCAGACATCAAGTTTCCAATCATTTCCTGGTAGTGGGATTCAACTACAAAGATATTTTGTTATGAATAGGAAATAGTAGAGTAGTGAGTGAAAATTAAGTTTTTGTGTCTGTTTTTTTCCTGTGGACAAATGGGACTCTAAAAAGTAAAGTATCAGAAAAAGTGTCTTGTCCGAGAGCTAAAAAATGTTCTTTTTTTTTTTTATTCTTTTGAGATGTTGTTCACTTTTAGACAAAAGAGAAAAAAAGTCATCTGTGTGTGTAAAATAAAATTTCACTACTCTGTGTTGTTACAGTTTATCCTGACCTGTGTACCATCAGTCTGGTAGCTGTTGGGGATATGAATAAACACGTGGACAAACTGCTTTTCTGGGAAGATGTGTATGGCTTTGACATGTCTTGTATGAAGAAAGCTGTCATTCCAGAAGCTGTTGTTGAGGTGCTGGATCCAAACACACTGATATCTACAGCCAGTGTTATTAAGGTACCACAGTACTTAATGCTTAGGAGCCAGGTGAGAAGTTTACTTGGTTTATGGAGGAGGGGCAAAAATTCACATGGCACACACAAACTTTGGAATCTTCCAAGTCATAAAAGTGCTATAAGGTTCTTGCTGTTAAGACTGGAAGGTTTGTATTAATCACTTTTTTTACCAACTTTGAGCTCTTAGTAAGGTAATTTTCCCATATTTAGATTGTTCTGTTCTACGATTTCTTCTCCAAAGCCAGATATACTTTGGCAATGCTCTACTGGTAACAGTGTATGCATATCCCCTTCTAATCCATGCTGTCATGAGCAGTCACTGTCCAACTCAGATGTAGGGGCTTACAAAATTTTGCCATCATGCAGCATGTAGCGTAACTGTTGTGCTGAATGGATTTATACTCATTTGTTCTCTTTTAGACAGCATGTTTTTTAAAATAACTTAAAATCAATGCATGTACTTGTTTGCTGGAGTTACAGTACAAAGTACTAAAATTAATGAGTTCAGGAACAGTGGCCTGGCCTTATAGGTAAATTGTTTTAATCAATAGCTATCCCACAGAACAAATGGATTATATTTTGTAGGGAAAGTTTAAAAATGCTCCTATTCATCATTATGATTATTACAGAAGGTACTTTGGTTTGTTTGCTCACATCAGGTGGTACTTGTTCTATATAGCTCATAATGTAACTTAACAGGAACAAAAACATTCCCTAAAGAAAGATAAGGCAGAGGAAAAATCAGAGAAGGCTTTGGGTTAAAGATCATCCAGTTCCAACTCTCTCCTGTGTACGAGAATGCTTTCCACTATCCCAGGTTGCTCAGACCTCTCTCCAATCCAGTCTTGAACAATTACAGAGATGAGGCAGCCACAGCTTCCCTGGGCAGCTTGCGCCAGGGCTTCACCACCCTACAGTAAAGAATCTCTTCCTAATATCAAATCTAAACCTGCTGTCTTTTAGTTTGAATCCATTCCCTCTTGCCACTCCATGCTCTTTGGAAAAGTCTCCCTTCATCTTTCTTGTAAGCTCCCTTCAGGTGCAGGAAGGCCACAGTTAGGTCACCCCAAAGTCTCCTCTTTCCCAGGATGACCAGTCCAAATTCTCTCAGCCCTTCCTGCCAGGGGAGGTGCTGCATGGCCATGGTGGCTTCCTCTGGGCTCATTCCAGCAGCTCCATGTCCCTGTTGTGCTGAGGACCCCAGATCTGGATGCAGAAATTCTGAAGAAAAGAGGGAAGAATAACACAATGTACCAACAAAGGTTGGGGGTTTCCTGGCTGGAAAGCAGTGTTGCACAGAGGAATTTGGGAATTCTGGTTGACACCAAACTGACCATGAGCCAGTAACACACACTCTTGTGGCAGAAGCAGCCAGCAGCTTCCTAGGCTGCATTAGGAAGAAGTATTATCTCCAGCAGCTCAAGAGAGATGGATCTTCTTTGCACCTCAGGGAGTTGGCTTGTGGAGTGCCATATCCAATCTCAGGCTGAGTGCAGGAGTGAGATGACTGTCCTGGAGTGAGTCCAGTGAAGGTCTAGAAAGGGGATTCTCCAAAGGTCTCTTTCAATCTCAGTTATTGTGGAATGGATACAAAGCCAATCTGGCAAATTAAAACCTCCCAGTTTTAACCCATACTAGTTTGATGCTGTAGTTTACCACATGACTACATGAACAAGGTGTAAAACAGGTCAAGATGCCTGTGAAAGCTGCTTACTCTCAACAAGGGGCAGCTGCCATCAAGAAGCAACTTCCCTGAACAAGAATGAGCTACTTTGTGTAGATCCATACCGCTGCCACTCAAAGTGCCTGTTTATTTCGACATGTGAGGAAGAGGAGTTTCAGGTGTTTGTCACATGAGATTAGGTAATTTTTTAGTCTCTTCCCATTTTTTGGAAAGTTGAAATAATATGACCTCTTAAAAGTTGTCTCATAATGAGAACAACTGAACAACCTTCATCTAAAGGGAGATATTAATTGACATTCCTCACTTTTACTGACAGAATTTTATTACTGATTTTGACAGCATATCGACTGTAATACTGCATCCACTCCAGACTTGGAATTCTCTTCAGATTTCACCCTGAGCATTACAGTGAGCACACAATGTACGGTAAGACAACTTTAGTTTCCTCATACATGGTCGGTATCACATTGGACTAAGAGATAATCCATTAATTATCCTTCATTTATCATCAGTCCTTCCCTTGAAACATTAATTCCTGCAGTACAGAGGTGTCAAATGAGCTCTTTCTATAAAGAGAGATGGATGTAAAAGTCCAGGAATGGTGTTATGGGGTAATACAGGTAGGTAAGGAAATGGAAGGGTAAGGAATCTTAGCACTTGGATATTTCTGTTTTGTTCCTTAGCCCACTTTCTGAAATACAAGAAAGTCTGGTGTTAGCTTGCCTAAGTAATAATGCATTGATCTTTCAAACACTACATTATAAGCAAAGGCAGGATGGCCTAATTTTTACAGTAATGTCAGTAATTTGCTTTTATATTCAATACAAATTATAAGTGCTTTCTAGCAATTCGTTAAAATACCTTCACTAAATTTGACAAAAGAGCATTACACTCTGAAAGCAGTAGTAAAAACTGAAATTTTTGCCCTCTGGAGTATTGTGGAGCTTCTGGGACTTTCATGCTTAAGTCACATCACAAAATCAAGTGTAAAGGGGTATTTTTTTGCTTACTTCTAATATATTGAAATTAATTATTCTGCAGCTGGTTTATTGGGCTTTTGCACATGTATACAAAGCAGAACTGCAGGCTTCCTCTGACATGGACACAAAGAATATGTTTCTGTATGATATATACCGCTTAGGCTGATGACAAAAACTTGGATGCCTGCATCAAGCAATGTAATTCCTGATCTGGATGCTAGTTCATGTTGCTGTATTTGCCAATATTTTTGCAGAGTAACAGTCTGCATAAGTGTTTGTTGGTGTCAAAAAGTGAAATTTTCCCATGTACATAGTTCAAATCATTATAATTTTTAATTCGTAGGTGCGTACAAATACTTCTTATTTATTTGCCAGTTATCACCAAATTAGGTAAATACACAGTAACATTTTCAGGGTTTCTTAAAAGGAAACCTTTATATTTTGCTGTGCATAAAAATGAAACCACTCCTGTTTCAAGGTATCATAGGATAATTCTAGTTGCCTCAGGGCAGGGTCAAGTTTGATTTGAAATCAAGCTCCACTGCAGCCCTGGTTTAATTTTCTTAATATGACCACATTTGAATAACTGATTAAACAGAAATTGTTACAAAATGTCGGTCATCTTTCTGATGCTTGGGTAAAGTAAAATAGCTTATTTTATAAACATTGTTTTCCCCAGCAGTAGGCTCTTACAAAAACTTCATTTCTGTTCTGTAATTCTGTGGCATCATTGGCATATAAATCAAAATGTATACCTGCATTTTATGACTTCCAAGAAGGGGGGGGATGTGGGAGAAAAACGATGTTTCTGAAATTTTGCAGTGAATGCAGGTTCTAAAAAAATATCAGAATGCTGTAAAGTATTTTGCAGTTCATCATTTAGGTTTATCGACACTTGAGTGAAATTTCCACAGTTTCTATGATGGATTGTAGAAGTTTAGTTGAGGGTTGACAGTTCATCCATCATATCAGGCTGCCTAACCTTGCAGTAAATGAACAATAAAAGTCCATTATTTATGTTGAAATTTTTGAGGAGATGCTTTAAGATTCCAATTTGTTCTTTGAAAATAATATTTGATGTTTTTCTTGTTTGCATATATTTTGTTGTTCTACTGGCATTTCATTTTCTGCATAAAAAGAGAAAGTTTACTACATTTCCCAAAATTCTAGGGTTTTTGTACTTGGCTCTTGGGATTTTTCAGGGGGTGTTTAAAAGATGAACATTTTAAAATATCTTTGCTTTATTGACAAAAAAATTTCCATGAAAATAGCAGTGGGGAAATCCATCTTCGTATGCTTGTATTTCATTTCAAAGCAACTTTTCCTCAGCCATGGAAGTGTGAAAGCAGATTTGGTTGTCTTATTCCAGGTGTTGCCATCAATACTGCTGATAGCAGAGCAGTGTTACCATCAGAACTAGGACTGCTTCTGTTGAATAATCTGTCCTTAGAAACCAGGCAACTGAAAAATGTTGGGGCAGGTAGTTCTGTTATTTGTTCTAAGGATCCTCTTGCAGACCAGCTCCTGGTTTGCAATGTCCCTGGCTATGGGGGGTGGGTTTCCGTGCTCCCTCCCAGGGCACTGTGTGAGGCAGCTATTCCTACACTGAAGGGCATCATCAGATTGGAATGCACAGCTGCTTCTGCTGAACTTCATTTTGGAGAGGTTTTGCACTGATGGGAAGTGATTTAGCAAGTTGAGGAAAGTCCTGTGGGCTCTTCTGGTTGGAGTGTGCAACATAATGTCAAGCGGTTAAAGAGCTAAACTCGCAGCTGGCATCTCTAGAAGTAACAGACCTATAAGGGTCTGCTGCTTCCTCCCATCAGCCTGTTTGCTTGTCTGTGCTAACAGGACAGGATGATGGAAAAGCTGACAGGAGTCAGAACCAAAATTGCAGCTTTTTACCAACTCATTACTACATTTGCTCTGGTCATGGTTTGGAACACCCCCGGGATCCCTCAGGCAGGAGAGGCCACACTTCATGATTCTGTGGCAAAATCATTGAATACTGTGACTTGGAAGGGATCCTAAAGATCACCTAGTTCCAACCCCCTGCCATGCCCAAGGATCCCACCCCTTTAATCAGGTCACTCCAAGCACCACTCAGCCTGGCCTTGAACACTTGCAGGGATGGAGCATACACAGCTTCTCTGGAGAACATGTGCCAGGGCCTCACTTTTCTTCACAGTAACAATTTCTCCTAATACCTAATCTAAATCTCTCCTCTTTTAGTTTAAAAACATTTCCCTTTGTCCTAATACTATCTGCCTATGCAAAATAATGTTAAATTCCTCTAAAATCTGTTCTTAGTCTTTCCTCAGCTGATTGTTTTCTGGGTTTGGATGAATGCACTAAGGGCATGAATACTCAGCCATCATGGTGAGTTTGTGTGAAATAGAGAAGCTGTGCATTTCAGAAAACTAAGAGCGTAGCATTGACACATCTGATTTGTTTGTCCTTCCACCTATTTGAAACTACTCTCATACTTCTATGTGACCAAAAAGCCCCCAAGCAGAGTATTAAATCATGTTCATAAGAGATGAGCCTCATGTCTTACTGTAGGTGCATATTGAGTGTGTTGCAGATGCTCCTATAATACATAGAGCCATAGCCTTAAAAAATTACTAAGGCTTTAAATAGATTTTTTCTTCCAGATCTTCAAAAAATTAAATAAGTCTGCAAAAAAAAAATATTCTAATACACATAAGAAATACAAAGTGATTGAAAAAATAAAAATTTTAAATATGTCCTTTTATGTGCTGGTTAGTCTTAGAAGTCCTGAGAACAGGGTGGTGTAGTTAAGGCTTTTTTCTGAGAATATATTCCTTCTGTTAATTTTTCCTTCATTCCTCACATGCTTTGCCACAAAGAAGCATTTCCTAGCATTAGATTTATATAGCATTATTTTAGCTTTCAAAGATTGAAGATTTTCAAAGCGTGAAACAGTTGCATGGAATCATTATATGAAATTGTTCCAAAGCGCTTTTATTGCAAGTTGGCTTGATTTTGGTCCTACAAAGATAACAGCAAAAAATAAAATTAATTAGCCTGCAGAAGTGTATTTTCCTAATAAAGAGCTAGGGTTTGTCACTGCTGATTTTAATGAGACATCTGGCTAATATCAGTTAGTAGATGCTGCTAGAAAAATACTCTGTTAATTGTATTCTAAGTTGATCACTGTGTGAGCTTTTGAGATAAAATATAATGGTAATTACCCTCGGTATAGAAATCAATTGACAAACTTTCTCTTTTGTTTGCAAGCATTTCCCCTGTGAGTCCATCAAGGTTGATCTTTCCTAGCTGAATAACAATATCCCCTAAGAGGAAAATGGTATCTCTTCATTGCTCCCAGGAGATCTTGTCAAAAAGCGGGGGATGTGTATAAAAAGTGGGAGGGAGAAAGGGGGTGAAAGAAGGATAATGAACTAATTAGAGGACGTGATGTATTAAAACCTTCAGGAGAAAAAAGGAAATTCAGTTGACTAGAGAAAATTCTTCGCTTCTTAAAATTTTGTTAAATGTTAGGCAGTTTCATTGCTTAATGTCTAGTCTTCCACTTGGGAGCCAACAAGAAGTATTACTATATGAATATTTGGTTCCAACCTTAGCTGGGAAACTACATTTTTTAAGCTAGAAGCTGGAAATACGGTTTGGGTACCACAATTAAACCCATCTTGAATTCCTGATTTCTGAGTAAAGGAAGTACTGCTCTACCATGTTACAAAGCAGGTTTTGTCTTTCTCAACTGTTTACTTATCTGTAGCCTCCTCTGCAGAGATGTCCAGATTATTAATCTTTAAAACACAAAATTGCTGGGTTTTAATTGCCAGGGGTTTCTCTTCCCTGTGATAAAAACGCAGCATCTCTGTTGCATGGATGACAAACATGCCACCTCCATGCTTGGATAAACTCCATCAAAAGCACATTATCTCCCACTTCTGTGGCCAGCTGTCTAATTGTATTTGTTGTAGCCACTCACTGTTGGAACATGATACTAGTGAAGAGCAAGAATGATAAATTACTCACCGTAGGTAATAGTGATGATTATAATTTTTAATTTCCTTGTTCCTAAGTGAATTGGTAAGACTGCCTTTGAGTTCTCATAAGGAAATGAGCAGTCTCATTTGTTTTGTCCTGTTAAAATGCTGCATGTACAGGCAGCCATTTTCTTTAGGAAAAAAGCCTTAGTATTTAGATGTATTTAAATTATAATTTAGACTTTTCTTTGCATTTCAGCTAAAGGCTCTGAGTGGAAGAGTGCAAATAATGTGTACCAATACTCATTTATTGTATGTTGAGGGTTTTTATGGTTTTATTATATTTGGTATGTGTTACATAAATAAATGGGGAGGAAAATAGTCTTGAAATCATTTAGCTGGGAGCAAAGAAAAGCAGTTTAAAGACAGGTGAATCTTACTGGCAGGACCTGCTTTATTTATAGGTTTT